TACGAAGGGTATTTCGAAGGTGGCGCAGTTTGAGAGGTTGATGTACAGTGCGATGATATTACCGATAGCTGCCGTGGGATTGCAGATATTGGCTATGAAGCCAGATGGACACAGGGTGGAAAGGGTTATTCGTGATTGGCCTTGATTGATGATGGTAAGTTGCCATTTCAAAGAAATGCAAATATATGTTGTCGAGTATTGGCACATGCGCGTATAATGAATGTATGTGCTATTACGCATGTTTATGTAAGCATTTGTCCATTACTGAGCGCAGGTGTTGCGCAACCAAAACAATTCTATCGCGTACCGTTTTCCACCGCAATATCCTTGACATACATTCAGTACATAATAGTATAATGCCCGGATGCGTGAACACGCCCGTCCATAAACCGCCTTTCATAATAAGTTGAGGCATAAGGCACCAGCATGAAAGAAGGTAAAATACGAGAAACGGAAGGTAATTTCACCGGTGGTATTTGACACGGCCCTCACCTTACAGTTATTATTATGCCAAGTGGGCGCACGTGGCAGGCGAAACCTACAACAACCGGTGATGAGAGGGGTTATTCAGCCGGTAATCAAGTCTGGTAGTCTTTGCGGGCAGTAAAAATGCGTACATGTAGGTGGGGGGTGGGTTAGTTGCGCGTGTATGCGCCTTTGTGTAGGCCCGATGGGGTAGCCTTAGAGGTTAAATGTCGCTCTGCCCAAAGACCCGGCCCAGCTCATCTAGTGTCGTTATATACTTCCGTGCGTAGGTTCTCTCCTGATAAACTGGAGACATCCCCAACGTTCGTTCTAAAACCAAAGCCGCGGTCCGGCAAACGCGTCAAGTCACGCGGCGAGGGTATTGGGTAGCTCTTATGGTTACGCGCCGCTTTTCGTCACGCTGAAGACCTGGTTCCATTCCTGCCACGGGCGTGCGGTGCTCGGTTTCTTTGGTATCCCGGCGATAATTCACGCCACCAACGTTGGCATGGTTTCAACATTGCCAAACGTCCTGTTCGGCCTGGGACCCCGCCGTATACGCACAAACATTAAGCAAAAAACTGCGTAAATCCCACGCACTCATCTACCCACCATACGAAAAACACCTAAGCATCGAAAGGCTTGTATCAAAAGGTGTGGATCGTGGTTTGTCGGGTTTGTGGTGCCAAATAGTGTGGATCGGCTGAGCACGCTTGATAGACTCAACGTTTTACTCAACCATGGCTAGATATTTCGACTGGCGGCATTAACCAAACATATTCATTTGTAGTATTTTTCACTTTCGTGAGGAAATCACAATTGTTCTTTCTAAAGTTTACTGGAAAACTTGAATCCAGCGGTTCTTGTGCAAACGTGCGCTCCTGGGCATATAGGTCAGTTATCAATCTTGAGAGACAACCATCATCAATGCCGGAGGAAAACGTCGGCGACATCTTTGACTGGATGGATGGAGAGATCTGATCCATGAGCGGGGAGTTTATATGAGTAGGGTTTGGACATAAGATACAGCGAACAGTAATCGTCTTCTTTAATGTGACAGCCAGCGATATCATAAAAAGTGACGTACATGCGTACATATGTAGCCGAACCTAGTGACGACAAGGATCTCAATGCTGACTTGATGTTATTCATTTGTAAAATGGTTAAATTCAATTGCTTCCTCAGTTTATGCTATTTTTGTTAAGCTATTACTGAACTGCAAATGTCCACTATATGTACCAGTCTGGATATAATCTGAATTAAATATTCAGGCATTATATGCATGCATATTCTCAAACATTCTTATTGTTATTCTGCGGTTAAACGAGTAGGGGCTGCTTTTTACCGCTCAGTCGCATTTAAGAGACGTGGTCACCGAACGTGGCTAATTGTGGTGTACGCCCTACGATGTAGATCGATGCTGATTATGCAGAAATCAGTTTAGTTCAACCTAGATCCAGGCTTCAAAACAGCTGTCGCCGCACACGCACACACATTACTCCAGCAGCAAAAGCTTCTTGCGCAGATGTGCTGTTAATATAAGATATAGTTCCTAAATGCACATTCCGGGTAATGACGTGCCCTCACACTATGTTTACCTGGAATATTGCTTGAGTGCGGTGTAAAACTAAACTCACCCACTCCACTACTGAGATGATATGTCAGAGACAATATATAATGTTCTGCTGTAGACAGTAGACTCTCACTGACCAAGTCATTGTGTCAAAAAAATAACTGAAAACTGAACGTTTATGGAACAACCATCTAAGAAGATTACGGACAGAATATGTCTAACCATCAGCAATCGTGTGAGAGTTTGAAAATGACCATCTCCGTGTCATGCGAGTTTGAAACGGACCATCACCCATCACGTGAGAGTTTTAAAACGGACCATCACCATCACCGTGAGAGTTTGAAACGACGATCACCCATCACGCCGTGAGAGTTTGAATCGGACCATCACCCATCACGTGAGATTTTGAATCGACCATGCACATACCAAGAGAGAGTTTGAAACGCACAAAAATCTTACACAAACAAAACCTCCTGAAGAGATTATACACAGTATACCTTTGATAACACAATGACAAGGTTGTTCATACTCATTTTACACTTGCTTTGTCCCATTTGAGGTGACCAATCACCACCTTTGATGGGCATGTGGACGAGCGTTTCTCTCAACAGGTTCTACAAGTTTCTGTTGTGTCGGGATGATGACCTTGAGATTCTAAACTGAAACGACTTCAGCGACATCAGAAACCGTATTGGTTTGAGTGTGTGAATACCTCCTATGTTTTAGTTACGATTATTGTTGGAAAAATGGGCGAGCTGCAAATAACTTAATGTCTAGTTTCAAGACTATTGCAAACTATTGTATTGGACCAAAAGCCTCTCACTTTGGTAATCAAAAAGTATTATCATTGTTATAATAAATTTTCTTCTGAAACACTATCACACCATCAGAAGTACATATAATTGGTAAATGGGCCATATACTGAGAGGAAAAAATAAGGGATCAGATGAAAGCACAATTGTTTCTATATTTTGCAGGTTTCTTCACAAGTTGTGCGATATTAAATCTTTTGAAGAAACCTGTGTTGACTTTAAATTTTAATGTGATCCCTTATTTTTATCCTTCAGTATATACTGAAAGTTCTACAGGCAATCGTATTCTTGATAACTTTCATGAATGAAACAGGTTTAAGTTGGGTGGAATAGATCAATGGGATTATTGTCTACGCCAAAAAATATACAGCATTACTTTATACTTTGTTTGTTGTTTAACGCCGCGCCCAGCAATATTCCACCTATATGACGCCGGTCTGTAAATAATCAAGTCAGACAATCCAGTGACTAACATGACAAGCATTCATCCACGCAATTTGATACAATCTCCAACCAAGTCTGGCCACCCTGTTCCCTTTAGGAGCACGTTTACGACAAGCCTCTTGCTGAAGACCAATTCTATCCGGATCTTCTCGGGTAAATAATATAAGATAATTAACTTTCCAGTCTGTACATGTACTTTGTTCTCCCAGTCTGAGGCAGAATAAAGATCATTCCCTCCCACCTCAACTGATTTACCCAACTAAACAAAAATATGACTGTTTAACAATTTCATGTAAGCTTTAACATTTAGACTGACAAAATCTTCATGTACAGGACTGTATGACACGACAGATGATTTCAAATTTCCCATTGTGTCAAAAAGCACTGTGGGACTCTTGCTTGTAACTATTTGATCAGGTTTACAATATGAAACATGTTAATAAATCCTGTTGTCAAAACAACCCTATATTGTAGACACGTAAAGGCTATTATGCAATCGGTGACCATGATTGTCCGATGTTTTTTCAATCATATGTTCCCTTTGTTCTTACCTATCGTGAACCATATAGATAATGATACAAATATGATATATCATTTTATTGACATACAGATTTGTTTTATATACATATTAAGCTGTTATATTATACTGTACATACAGACTAAGGTAAGTTTCCCGTGATATTGTTTTGCTCTGATCAATGCAACAGTATAGACGCAACTGGTGATACATCTGTGACGTCATGGTTCATTTTAACCACCCGGGACCACTGCATATGGAAGTGATTATGTTGAGTATGTAGAGGAAAACAACCTTCATATTATTTGTTCAAAAGTGGACTGAGAGAAAGAATTATACATAATGAAAAACATAGTTGTATACGTATAGTGTAGAAACGACTACGAGATATCTTTATGGTGCTATCTTCAACCATTCAGATAGCACCATGTATATATTGTTCCGGTACAGTGTTGGTATTCGGTATGCAAGAGATATCGACAGTTTATTCGGAATACACCAGTTATTGGTTGTCTGCGGCACTTCATTTTACTCCACGCCCAATGACACAGCAGGCCACTCTGGATCCAGCATTTCCGTTTTCTTTGCTGGAAGGGTCCCCACCTCTACTGAGGTCATCAGTTCCTGCGTGAACCTGTCACAAAAGAAAACCGAGTTAATTATAAGTGTCTTTGTGAATCTTACACTAAGAATGCCTGCTTGGCAACTGTCATTCCTTCCTGGGAGATAACACCTTCTCCACTTTCAAAGGAAGCCGGGAATTGCAATGACCCTACTGATAAGCACCTCTCATAATTATTGCTAAAAGCGGCGTAAAACTAAACTCACTCACTTATGAGGGTTGAAGGGTTGAAGAAAATATACTCACTCTAAAGCCAATCGACGTCAGGTTGAGATGACCCTACTTCTAACAGTAATTGAATGAGTATAGGTTTAGCAATAGTCCAGTAATACCACAGATATTCGGTGGGCATACCAGAATGGGTTTTACATGTGGTACCCATGGGGGGAATCGAACCCAGATCTTCGACGTAGCTAACGAAAGCTTTAACCACTTGGCTATCCCACCGCCATCTAATATAAGATAGGCAATATATATTCGTAGACAAGCGATATGATCGTCGTAATGTTTGTGTTATATTTGTGAGAGATATTTTTCTCTTGCCTTGACTCAAATGCAAAAAAGACAGGATGTTGGGATTTTTAATAAGAAGGTCTACAGAACACATTATCTTTACTTGCTGGAAAAAACCCCGAGTGTCTATCATTCCAACTGAGTAGGTATATAAACATTGGATTTTTTCCCCAAATATGACGAAATCGAACAACTCTTACTTTTATCATTTATTTGTTTCTCTTCATTCCTGCAGTCTTGTTCATATATAAACCGGTTTAACAACCCTCAAACCAGCACTACAATCTCTTTATGTCTCCTTCCAGTGAGAGCCGTCGGCTGCGTAGATCACACAGCAGGCCAGTCTGGCACCAGCATTGCCGTTCTCAAGACTGGCAGAGTTGTTTCCTGCCAAGATCATCCACTCCTTCATGAACCTGAGACAATAACGGTAACATTCTAGTTTGAAATAAACTGATTCAATAACACAGACATACTTTTAGATAGATTGATGTAATTGGCCCAGACTCAATTGTTTTCAGACCGCCGTCATATATTTGCAGTGAGAGAGTGAGTTGGGTTTTACGCAGCATTCAGCAATATTCCAGAAATATCACGGCGGGGCACACCAGTCATGGGCTTCACACATTGTACCCATGTGGGGAATCGAACCTGGGTCTTCTCGGCGTGACGAACGAACGCCTTAACCACTAGGCTACCGTACCGCCCCGTCAGTTACTCAGAATGCAGGGTTCCATGGTGCCGTTATAGAATGGATTATGACTTATGTGACAAATAAACCCATTTTGTTATAAAGAAGTCTGAAAATAGAAAACACTTATCGAACAAAACTATTCACACACACCAAAAATCCGCACAAATCACACAAATTTGTATTTCAACCAGTACAAAAGTACAAGATCTCACATTCCCATTCATTTCACAAACATGCAATCTGGTATGCATACCACAATAGCCCTCCCCATGATGCTCTGGTCGCCTTTAAGGCTTGCCAGGCGGTCTGTGAACGAAGTCGTCAGGCGGCCGACTTTGGGAACGTCAACGTTGCCGAAGTCTCCAATATGTCTGAACCAAGACAAAGACAATGCAATGAGATATTCCATAATTTGCAGGTAAGTTTGTCTATAACGTGAGGTAACACCATAAAACACACTGATCAGCCGGCAGATGTTGAGTAAAGGCAATCACAGTTTAACATCAATATGTAAACATGGAGTCGTACGGATTTTTCAGATGTTACATGGAAGTGTAATTTCTGTTAAACAATGCCAGTCAACATTCTTAATGTATGATACTCAGATATTCATGAGGCCAAAGACCAATAGTTCATTATCTGGAGCGTTACAAATTCATTACATTGTTCCATTTCTTAAATTGATTCCATGTAATGGGTACATATGTAGACAAATGTCTAATAGTATCATTAGAATCTAATGTCATTAGATGTTCAACATTACTTACGATTTGGTTTGTGATAGAACTATTCCTTTAAGTATTTCTTTTCTGATATAAGTTGGACATACAAGCTAGGATGCCAATAACACAACGTATTGGGAAGGACTTTGGTGACGCTTGGTGCAAACAAAGGTCGGCTGTTTCCTCTGAAGTGTATCATTTGAAAGTTGTTTGTTCAGGGTTACAATTTAGCCTTAGTACAATTTTTACAAAGTTCAAATGGAGACTTGTACCATATGTCCCCGAGTTTGTTCCGCTGAACGCTTGACTTGACTTTGCGTGTGTTTGTATATGATTCATAAACACGACAGCTACTTATGCTTAACTATGGAAATGGGTTTCTGGCTTGTACATCGCCTTTATTTGTACTGATACAATATAACACATTGTATCAATACAACAAAACACAACGAATGTCCATATGTTGGTAACACTTGATGGCAGTGTAATGCCGTCTGTATAATATGTGAAATAATAAACGTTATTGCCACTATTCTATAGTGGCTACGTGATGAAAAGACCATAAAGAATACATGCATTTAGTGTATATTTCTAGTTTAATTATACCCAGAATAAAGTTAACACATTTCCAAACAGATGTTTTTATTACACTGGAATCATAGTTCAGGAATTACAATTGTTAATTATATTCCTATTTGTATAGCTTATTCATTTTTTAGAAAACAAAGTCAGATATGTAATTAAGTACATATAGACTATAGGCTGATAGTTTCATGTTACTGCACAGGTGATATAGAATTGTTGTCACTATTCATCGCATAAATGTTTGGATGTTAGGCTCACCTGAACCAAGATGATCACGTTATTTTGCTGCTGTTACAGAAGATTTGTGATATTGAAGAATTCATTACAGCTAAGTTAAAGATTATCGCAGAGAAATTTAATAACTGATTGTGCATGGTTTTGACTGATGTTGTTTCAGATGTTTTATCACATTAACTACTAACTCACAAGCATCGTGTTGACGTATAAACCGAAATAAAACGCTCAACATCCAAGAAAGATGAATTTGTGTGAAGAGCAGCGTCATAGATATTTGTAATGAATCTTAGAGAATCTCGAACGTGGAATTGCCAACCATTGTGCGCAATGATCCGGTTATCGTAAGTTTGAATCCTTGTTTTACGTCGATTGTAATCGATAGTTAGTAAGTATAACTTCTAAAATTTCAAAGTCTACGACCTGTGTCACTTTCCTTCAATATCAAGATGACTCATGTTTTCACTCGAAGATGTCAACATCGTTTGTTTGTTGTTTGACGCCGCACTCACTTCGTTTGTTTGCACTCAGCAATATTACAGCTATATGGAGGAGGTCCGTAATCGAGTCTGGACCACACAATCCAGTGATCAACAGCATGAACATCGATCTACGCAATTTGGATACGATGACACGTGTCGACAAGCCAGCGAGCCTAACCACCCGATCCCGTTAGTCGCCTCTTACGACAAGCATGGGTTGCTGAAGACCAATTCTAGCTCATCACGGGTCTCACAGTGATGACATGTGCCATCCAGTCAACGAGCCTAACCAATCAATCGCTGCAGTTAGCTATATTCCAGACCCGCGAAGATCCGGGTTAGAATTGGTCTTCAGTAACCCATGCTTGTCGAAAGAGCTTGAATATTGCTGAGTGCGGCGTAAAAGAACAAACCAAAAGCTACATTCCAGCTATATGGCAGCGCTCTGTAGAAAGTCGAGTCCAGTGTATGTCAACGTCACCTCGTACGGTCTTCCGGTGCTCCGTGGGTGACGTTGAATGGGTTGAAGTATCCACCGGCACCACCACAGCCATTTGCCAAGTCGCCGTAGGTGTGGACGTGGAAGCCGTGTTTGGTGACGTTATCGGTGGCCGGAAAGCCGTCTATGTCAACCTTGATTTCTATTGGCATTTTTCTGCCACATGCCTGTGGATATACACAAGAGACCACCAAGCTTACGTCTAAAGCCAAATTAATGATATAATAGGATGCTTGATTGGCAATGGAGTTTAGGAAAATGTAATTTACAACAGAATAGTCATCTGATTGGCTGAATGGAGTTTTCAGCGGCAGTAAAAACTGTCCTATGATGGATTGACTACTTTGGAGTGAATCGTAAGGACTGACTCTTCAAAGTCGGTTATTCAAGCTTTGATTATCAAAATTTTGAACATTTAGGCATTGTCTATGTAAGGATTGACAATTCAGTGAGATTGCTATTCACAAAACACATTCAGAAGGTATGATAGTTAATACATTGACAGTGCCATGGTTAATTACTGAAATTCAGGTTATGGTATTGGTTGATCGTTAATACCATGATGAAAGGTGACGATAACAGAAGTAATGAAAAATACAACTGATGGTAAAGAATGGTATGAAATATGTATGTCATGAAAAATAATTCAAATATTTAAATGATAATACATGATTATATGCTCTAAAATGTATAGTGATGATAAAGTAGTAATAAAAGCACATGTGATGAATATTACAAATGATGAATAAAGGATATATAGGTGATACTTAACGATGTCCCGTGTAATACCATATTTATGAGACAAGAGAATGATTTGGTATCTGACGAGCGAAAGCTAAATAATATCTCAGAATTCAACTTACAGAACGAGTGCATTACACCGTCATAACAGGGGTCAGAGTATGAATAAATTTCATTTATGATTGTCAACATTAATCTAAATAATTTGATTTTTAAATAAACAAGGGATATGAAAAAGGGACCACATAAATTTAATCAACATATATTATTTTCTTTTATATAAATGCTATTAATGGTAACCGAGCAAAGAACAGGTGAAACTTCTTTCCTAAGAATTCAACGAGTGCATTACGCCCGCACAACTCGGTCACGCGTATACTCGGTCATGTGACCGAGTGCAAATAGTTCCGGTGGCAGGCGATGTTATTACACAATGTGTAATTACATTGTAGATTTATTAAACAGTGATATGTTCATCGAGTGAGTGATAAAATACAATATACATTTGATAATAAAGGACTTAATGTAATATACAAGTGGTGTTAAAGAATGTTACAAAATGTAAAGGTGATGAGGAAGGATTTGATGTAATATATAAGTTGATGATAAAGAATGTATAATACTAGTGACGAAACAACTGGGTCACGCGTATACTCGGTCATGTGACCAAGTGCAAATAGTTCCGGCAGCACGCGATGTTATTACACAATGTGTAATAACATTGTAGATTTATTAAACAGTGATATTTTCATCGAGTGAGTGATAAAATACAATATACATTTGATAATAAAGGATTTAATGTAATATACAAGTGGTGTTAAAGAATGTTACAAAATGTAAAGGTGATGAGAAAGGATTTGATGTAAGATATAAGTTGATGATGAATGATGTATTATACTAGTGACGAAAGGGTCTGATGTAAGATATTGGTAATGAGAATATGTCTAATGTTCTCGTGTAATGTATATATAGGTGATGCCAAAGGGTGTCATGTAATACGTTGCTGATGAAAGGACGCTATGAAGCTGTTCCACTCACATTCACCTCCTTGAAGTCCACCCTCCCCGACAGGATAATCTTGGCAGAAGGATCAGGGGAGAGAATGCAAGATGCATACTCTGCAACATAGTGGAGGTTAATTATATGTTTGACCAGACTGATAGGTCATTAATTATAATAATAATAGTCCATTTATCATGCTCGTTGCTCCATGCACAATGCATGCTCGAAGCGCCCAAACAATTATTATTATTACCCCGGATAAACCAAGCTGCCTGTTAGGCGCTAGAGGGTTATAGTCACATGACTTTATCCCACCGGGTACTCATTTTATGCTAAGTAATTAATATAACGTTCAAGCGAACAAACTATGTGCTGCTATTCTTATGAACATTGACCTTGGCTTTGCATGTTCTTTTGACGGGTGGGTCGACCCAGTAGCCTAGTGGTTAAAGCGTTGGTTCGTCACGCTGAAGACCCGGGTTCGGTTCCCCATATGCGTATAATGTGTGAAGCCTATTTCTCTTGCCCCCCGCCGTGATATTGCTCGAATATTGCTAAAATCAGCGTAAAACAATACTCACTCACTCACTCACTCTTTTGACGGGTGCCACCAGAAACGTGCTTTATATTTCAATTTGTCCCTCATAGATCTCTTCAACTGTTAATTTGTACCTCATAGACGTGAATATTGATAAGAAGATTGCTTGCTGCTTTGGAAAAAAAATACACCAGTCACCCCCTTTTATCTTAACGCTCGGTTGCCTTTCATCATGACATTATATTGCAGACTTACCAGTGATTTCGCAGTCTCTGAACAAATATTCGAAGATGTTCAGGTGTCCAGGGACATTTACTGCTTGTTCTTGTCTCTCATGGAGAAATGCCAGACGAAGGCTCTGAAAGAAGGCATGCCACAGATTCATCTCGAACAGTCCCTTTAAGAGTGAATTCCTGTGGTGTCCTGTGGTGTAAGAGGAGAAAACATTCAACACAGTGAGCCCACATAATATTATACGGTTAACGTCAGGTACCCAAAGGGGACAGAGAGGTCGGGTGGTTTCTAGAGGGAAAGGGTGGATTATACAGGGGAAGGGGAGGGTGTCGTGGAACATCATGCCTCGTGATCAGACTGAAACAGTCCAAATTTTGTTGTAATTTTATTTACGGTTTGAGTGTTTCACGTGAACAATAACATTTACACGTGAACAATAACATTTGAATAACAATTAACATTGTTAAAATACATTGTTATAATAGAGCTTCTGTACCCAATAACATTGCATACCTTCGGAACACATCAGAGGCACGGAATATATACATATTTTTGTAATGTAAATTATGGTCATGGTTGATTCCAGTTCACTCAGTGAGATGCTGAGAATGAAACTATGATCACATGTGTTATGGTTGTTTTGTACAAAGGGCAGGTGTTTGTTTGTTTGTTTAACGCCGCACTCAGATATATGACGGATGCCTGTAAATAATCGAGTCTGGATAAGACAATCCAGTGATCATCAATCATAATGACATCATGAGCATCAATCTACTGTGTCCATAAAGTCAGCGAGACTGACCACCCGATCACGCTTACGAAACGCTTGGATTTCTGAAGGCCAATGCTAATCCGGATCTTCATCGGTGGGTGTCATTTCTACATACAGGGTAAAGGTTATTTTAAATCGTAAAACATACTCACTCTTCATTACACGGTATCGTTTGTACATACAATGTTATAAAATGTGAGGTTTTTCACGATCTAAAATAACAATTACCATACAGGGAAATACGAACACGTGTAAGCTCGTTGTTATGTGAGGTGAGGTGAAATTGGGTTTTACGTCGTACTTGAGAATATTTCGCTCATATGACGACGTGCATGCGTGTGTATGTGTATGTGCGGCTGCTTGTACTAGCCCAGACTCAAGCTGGTATTATAGTGCTAGCCCACTGAGATACCATGCCGCAGTGAAGCATGAATACCCCACTCAGACACATTATACTGACTACGAGCCGACCAGTCCTTGTTGTACCCATTAATGCCGAGCGCCAGGCAGGGACCAACAAGTACCATATTTTAACGTATTTTGGTATGACGCGGTCGGGGATCAAACCCACGACCTTCCGCTCTCCGGGCGGACGCTCTAACCACTACACCACGGATGCGGTTCGTTGTTTTGTAAGTTCGGTTAATTTGATCCCGCACCTCACATTTCATCGCACCTCACTTGTACGTCCTCATCAACAAATGACGTCATGGTGTAACAGATGAAAACGAACATTTATATAACAAGGATCTGCGGTATGAGGCGGACACTTTCACAACCGGACCACAATCCCGGAACGCTACCAACATTGAGTGACACTGCCTGCATTTCGGATTATTTCAAAGCGACATTATTCAAACTGATTCATTCTATATAATACGAAATGTTCTTAAGAGGGTATAGAGGGGACGTTTTCAATGTTTCCAGTGTTTAGTATTTTAATTTAGTAAATAGTTAATGTTGTCCTTGTATATTAATAAGCACGGTTAGATATGATAAGAAATGAATTTAAAAAACTTAAATGCAATTAAGTATATACTAAAACAACTGGAGAAGAATGTTAACAATGATAGCGTCGTTTTGTAATTCGAGATCCTCGACGAATCCCTTTCATTCCTGTCAAGAGGTGAATGTGAAAATGTTACATCTTTCTTTTTCAATTTGTTTCGTGAAAATGTAGGTTTTTCATGATAATAAAGGACATGTCTATTCAACAATGACAGATAAACAAACGCAAAAGATTATATGTATAATATGTAAATGTGTATCAAGGATAAATATTCATATGAATGATATGCAAACAACAGATAGATAATGATTTTTTCTATTTATTATGGGGTGGTGGGGTAGCCTAATGGTTAAAGCGTTGGCTCGTCACGCCGAAGACCCGGGTTCGAATCCCCACATAGGTACAATGCGTGAAGCCCATTTCTGGTGCCCCCCCGCCGCGATGTTGCTGGAATATTGCTAAAAGCGGCGTAAAACCAAACTCAGTCAGTCAGTCAGTCTGTTTATTATTATTACATGCTCAGCTGCTCAAAGGCGCGTTGTTTTCCCCTCGATCAACGGCACATCGTATTGTTCAATCTCAACCCCCTGGGGAACACCTCTTTCAGCCATTTATGCGCACCAAATTAATGTGTCTTCCCCATCCCTTACGAGGTACCCATTTACAGATGGATGGAGTGTGACACATAGTTACAGTACATTGTCCAAGTACAATCTGGTCATTTACCAATGGATTCGTGAGTTGTTTTAAGTGCACAGGGTTGTGTACTGTACACTAGGGGTTGTGACAACACTGAAAGAGTCTGCACACAAAGTTGACTCCAAGGTTTACACTCGGTCATAGATGAGCTCGATCCCGACACCTTAAGCTCCCAGGATCACTAGCCTGGCAGTTTAGCCCACCGCGCCCCCATCTGTATTCTGTAGGAATCATTCATGTGGCAACTGATGGTTGATTTGTATCAAGGTTAAATAATATAATTGCGTTAATTTCGAGCTATGTTTTCTTTCAAAAAACCTTCTCTGTGATGAGCGCTTTATGTTCGTAGAGTAGGTTCTATTAAAGCTAATAACTGATCTGCGTTTGAAAATCGTTGAGCTACATGTATACTTTTGTTTGCCGGATTTGCTTGACGTTTACGATGTAGTCATCAATATTAGAACTATATGAAGGCTGTGTGTAACTTATCAAATCTGATGGAGGCAGATAGTGGGGCTTGAATAGTACAGAAAGGTACATACAATTTAGGACTAGCTGACAAAGGGTAAGGTCTGAAGCGGAAGACCATTTCAAGCATTTCATGACACGTCATTGGCCCGTCAACATCGTTCACGTTGGGCTAAGATTGGTTTGGTTGTTGTTTAACGCTACCATCAGCAGTATTCCAGCTATATGGCGGCGGTCTGTACATAATCGAGTCTGGATCAGACAATCCAGTGATCAACAGCATGAGCATAGATCTACGCAATTAGGATGCGATGACATGTGTCAACTAAGTCAGCGAACCTGACCAGCCGATCCCGCTAATCGCCTCTTGCGACAAGCAAGGGTTTTCTGAAGACCAATTCCAGCTCGGATCTTCATGGGGACACACATGCGTTTATGAAGACCAATTCTAACCCGGATCTCCACGGGTGCGGCTTGGCTTGTACTTTCTTTGGTATGTCAGTTTCTATATCTAAAAAAACCCACCGAAAACCTGTTAGGACACATTCAATATACATTTGTTATCAACTGCTCGAATCATGGATTCGAACCCACGATCACAGTGGTATGACACGCATCTGCACTACGAGCTGGTCACTCGTGCCCTTACCGTGCATTCTAAATTTCTAAGCATTTCAATGAAAGCCGAGCGAAGGTAATAATCCTACCTCTTACCTACATATATACATTCTATTAAACTATAATCACTTACTCATCCGACACAAATGATTCACTATGGCGGTCGCTTTTATAAAGTATATGTTAGCGTTGTCTCGTCCGAGTCTGAAGCGGATGTTGGTATTCCATGTATATAACGTTTCCGTCAGCTGACACAAAATGACTGCATTTGCATAAATGTCGTGTGCAAAACCATCTGTTGCCTTCAGGACAAGCATTTTGTACCTGTTCTTATCAAACAGGAGCCTACTGATCGGAATAAAACATTTCATATGAATACATAATAATGGGAATACGCATGGCTGGATAATTCAATTACTGAGCAGTATTACATTTTTCTGAATTTTTTCTAAGCCACTGATATATTTGTTCAGAATCGTAATTTGCGCAGAAACTGTTGTGTGGTCAATGAAATGTTGTTAATAGATCTATTAATAAACATACACAGGAACAAGGGTTATCCAGTCTTTTATGGTACCTCGATTTGCTGTGCGGAGTTGCGTCCCTCGGCCACACAAGTATCCTATGAGTGAGTTAAGGTTGACGTCGCATCAGCTTTATTTCAGTTATTACATGAACGCTACAATGTTATAAACACAAACTCACACTGGAAAGGAATTGAGGCAACATGTCATCGTGAGTTCGAACCCTAGTTCCCGTTGATTTTGTTTCAAGGTTTGCCTGCACCATGCTCGTGCTGCTGCATAGTGATAAGCGACTAAGACCTGCATTACTTCGGGTTTTCCTCCTATATTAAGTTAACACGCCGTGATATAGCCAGAATGTTATTATTCAAAGCTCCCTTAAACCAAAATCACTCACTCATTCCACACTTATCGTACGTCATGGCGACCGCGTGGAGTTAGAGCGGAACGTCGTCTTAACAAACCTCTGACGTTCTGATTACCCTCTCTCCGATAAGCATCTCAACGTAAACACGGATATCCTTACAATAAAAGGCATTAAAAAGTCGTATTCCCCACTCCAAACACCCATAAAAGTGTTCTTAAGTAACATAACGAGGTAATTCCAATTACAGCTTATCACTTCCAAACCGAATACTTATTGCAACCATGCGAAAATGATTTCTTCGGTGTGAAAAAAAGAACATGTTAGTTTTTCAAAATGATTAATAATATTATGTTCCATGATCTCAACACGATCATGACCTACATGTAATCTGCACAGGGACATCAGTCATCGTCTTGGTACAGTTACAATCACTTCCGTTGGAGATCCCATTCATTACATATTCAGTACATACGAGTCAACATTCCAAGAAGAGGGTTTTTTCGTAGAAAGAGAAAGAATTAAACCTTTTTGTGGCGAGAAGGATGGCTAATCATAAGTGTTTTCTTGATGAAGTAAACTCTATTTGACGAATCGAAAACTATTGCAATTATATTCGTACCTTTGGATGGTTCTAATGAAGATTGAATGAAAAAATAGTGTAAAAAATCTCCATACCTTTACTAATATGAAATAATGTAATTGTCTGATTAATTCAGGTAAATTTAGAATTAATATTGTTTGTTTTGTTTTTTTGTTGTTGTTTTGTTTTTTGTTTCCTTACTTTGATTTTGAAGGGCAAAGTGTGTGTGTGTGTGTGTGTGTGGGGGGGGGGGTTGGTATGTGGAATGAGGCGCACAAATAAATATGTTTTGTTACATTTCTATTTTACCATGTCAACTATTTCAGACAATGATACATGGGAAGCCATATTAATATGTATATGGTCGGAAAGGAGTCAAATGTCACCTTAGTGCTAATAAACCCAAACTACACAATGCATCTTGCTACAAGCTTTCTTATAAACTGTCTGTGAAGATTTAAAGTTGTTATGAAACTGAAATTTGAATATATTATTTTTTGTTGGTGTTTTGTCTGGTAAGAGAAACGGACGTCTAAAGTAACAGTAATGGACAAGAACGGTAACAGTATGGATACTTAAGGTAACAATCAAGTTTGACTTGTTTGTTGTTTAACACTGAGGTCAGCAAAAGTCCGGCAGCGGTCTGTAAATCATCGAGTCTGGACCATACAATCCAGTGATCAACATCATGAGCATCGATCTACGCAGCTGGGATATGATGACATGTGTCAATCAATCAAGTCAGCGAGCCTGACTTGACTGTAACGGTTATGAAAACACAATTCATACAGAAGAAGGACCCGTGAAGGTCCGGGTTAGAATGAACCTTCAGTAACTCATACATGTGGTAAGAAGCGACTAACGGGATCAGGTGGTCAGGCTCGCTGACTTGGTTGACACATGTCATCGGTTCCCAGCTGCACAGATCGATGCTCATGCTGTTGATCACTGGATTGTCTTGTCCAGACTCGATTATTTACAGACCGCCGCCATATAGCTGGAATATTGCTGAGTGCGGCGTAAAACTAAACTCACTCACTCACTCAGAAATAGGTATTCAATACATTGCGTCAAAACATACTGTTATCACAATGGTTAATCTACCATTGAAAGACAAGTCTTCTTTCAGAATACGAGTTTCTTGTTGAAAATCATGCAACAGATGCTCGGCAATAGCAGACTGATAATGCTGATTTGGAGATTGTACGTGCGCTTTCCGACGTAATGCATGTTTCGCATTCAGTGTATTGAAGACTTGAAACGTTATTTTATCTAACTCCTTTAATGAAATAGAACAGTAAAAAGAATGAACTGTCTAAACAACATTTACTCAGTATGGACGATTGAACATGTAGCCATGATACTCAGGGAAACATCATCAGACAGAACTTTAAAAAGCACATTGTAACTGCAACTGCAGTCTAAACACAGTGTCCAATCTCAATATTTAAGAAATGCATCTCACGAAAACTGAATTCACACAATTTTGTTAAACAACACTTGAATTGAGAGCGATAACCCGAAAAGCGATAAAGTATATTCTTAAAAAAAGTAGGGAACTTCATTTTAAATGTACGATTAAAAACAATTGGGAGACATATTGGAGTCAATCAATGTTGATGTGATGATAATGACTATTTCGCGAGTGCATCACCACTTGCACTTCCCTATGACCATAATTGTTTACAGTCATCTTTTTTGAAAGATGATTGGTATATGATTGGTGTATGACGTGAAATACGAATGTGTACTATTTTCATTTTCAAACAAAACGAACGGCTAGAAACAAACACTAACAACATCACTGTTTGATGCAAGATGATTGTCCAAATTAATGGTCCACAGTGATTTATCGACCTTCTTGAAAACCGTCAAAATCGAGAATTACGTGTAAGAGGCTACTGCGTTGTGCACGTCCATGTGTTGTGTTTACTGTTTAGGGGCGGTGATCAAGAGAAATGGGTATGTTCATAAGATGTCTGTCTTTGAAAAGTTTGTTAACGCTTAAATATCCAAATTGAAAGTTCAGGTTCCCATACATTTTGGGAAGAATATATTATTCACAGTCAACGTCAAACGACCATATTTATATTTTATAGTTTTTGTCTTCTTTATGCTTGTACACAGGATTTGTTTTTCCATTTGCTTTAAGAATGACAGATCAGATACGAGTGTCATAAGGGTGTCAACACGTAACCCTCATTCTTGTCCAAACGAGACGAATACCTTTTAGGTGTAACATACATGTCATGCTGCTCATCCATTACTCTGCCAGGCCAAGCACTACCATCATACGAAACCAGCATAAATGAACCCATCTGGCATGAGTTGAGGCATCTTATCATCCTGAATGATGTTGGTAGGTTGTATACCGCCATACTATTGCTGTTATATAATAATACTAATATTAATACTAATAATAATGGTGCAGGTGCAGACTTCGGAATCTATTCCAATCAGAAGGGGCATTTTCCAGGGGGACTCCTTTAGTCCTTTGCTTTTTTGTCTGTCTTTAAATCCTTTGAGCTTTCTGCTCAATAAAGAGGAGGGTTACCATCCCGGACCTCCTCAGCACAGATCCCCAACACCTCTTACTCATCTCCTTTACATGGATGACATCGAGCTGCTTGCCAAAGGAGATTCCAATTTGAAAGAGCAGGTTCTCCTTGTCGAGTCCTTTTCTAATGATATTGGCATGACATTTGGACTCGACAAATGTAATACTCTTCATTTGAAACGTGGCAAGGTAGTTAATGATGGATCGGTCAGGTTACAAGGGGGAGGAGTTATTGAGCATCTTGTGGAAGATCAGGCCTACACCTATCTTTGAATGCAAGTTCGAGACAAGCTCCAGAATGCCCAGATTCAAGAAAAACTTCGGGCCGAGTACAAATCTCGTTTAAAGAAAATCTGGAGCTCAGAGCTAAATGCTCGAAACAAGGTCAAAGCCACCAATACTTTTGCTGTGCCAGTCCTCTCCTATTCCTTTGGAGTAGTTGACTGGACGAAACAAGACATGCAGAGTCTTGACCGCCTGACCAGAAGGATCATGTCTGATAACAGAGCCCACCACCCTCGTTCTTCTCTTAACCGTTTATATATGCCAAACAATTCTGGAGGTCGGGGTTTGATTAATGTGGAGGCTCTTCATGATAGAATTTTATTGTGTACTTTTGCACATATTTATTTATCGGATGATCCTCTAGTGATGCATGTGAAGACTCATGATGAAAGCAAGGAATTCCACAGCTATTTAAAGCGTGCCAAGGTTGTTGGACAGAATCTGAAATTTGAGGTTGACTTTGCTGATGGCAATGTACTGCTGGACGGTACAGTGATGGGAGTAAACCAGGTGAAGTCCTTTACGAAGTCTGCCCAGAGTCGGTCTTTTTGTGGAGAAGCTTTCTGAGAAGCCATTGCATCGTGTGTACATGCAGTGTGTTGAACAGAATAGCAATCCCACCGACTCCTTCGCCTGGATGAAGTCGGCTGGTCTTAAATGTAAAACTGAGGGCTTCCTTTTTGCTGCTCAGGACAAGTCACTTCCCACTCGTAATCGCCTAAATGTCATTCTTAAAGAGAATATTAACATGAAATGTCGACTTTGCAATGAATTTACAGAGACTGTCCAATACCTTGTCAGTGGATGCCCTTCCTTGGCACAAACAGCATATCTTAAACGACATGATGGCATGGCTCGTTGTTTTTTACTACCGTCTCCGACATGCCTGTGGCTTTGACTCCGAGGTCCATCCATGGTACGACCCTGAACATGTCCAGGGC